TGTCAGACTGGGTTTGATCCATGTTGGTGTAAATCTGACCAGAGCTCAAAGTTCATCTCCTTCAAGAAGGAAACTTTCCATTTCTACTTAGTCAGACTTCCTGTGAAGTCGTCCAAACACAGAATTGACACATTTAATGACACTACATTAACTGTGACACAGGTTTTTATACTGAACACTGTGGTTTTCATGAAAATGCTGAAGTTCTTCCCTCAGATTAGTAACATGTAGTAAAACACAGCAGTGCTGACCTGCAGCTTCTTGCTCTCGTCCTTCTACTCCCACATTTATACTGTGAGCACCTCGGACAACATGCCGTCACATCATCACAACACATCAGCTTCTTCCTCCTCAACATTCATCTTTACAGTCTGATCTGCAGCCTCTCTGCTCCTGACTCTCTCTCTGGTTTCTACACAGAGAGGAGCAAACATCCACCTGCTCCACCCAGAATCAAATAATGAAGAAAGCATATTTCCTGCTCTACCGGACAAATAAAAATCCCAAGTGACAGCAACTCCCAACAGTTATGTGATATGTGTTTTGCATTAAAGCTGCACTTCAGTTACTTCAGATTTACATTTAGTTCCACATTTACCATTTAAAAAAATCCACACACTCGCCTCTGTAGTCAGCTGACTTTATGGTTTTACCAAATGATCTGAAACACGAGACTGAACTAAAGAAACACAAACATCACTTCCTCTAATTTCCACATAGTTACACCAGTGAGTCACACCAGTGAGTCACACCAGTGACTCAGCATGACGCATGTGAAACATGTCCAGTGTTCTGTTTCAGGGACTCGAGTAAGCTCCCCAATCTCAGTGTTCAAATGACAGTTGTAAAATAAATTCACTTGCAGAGTTGACGGCCAATACTATTTAAAGAGACCACAGGTGTTGTTGTACTTCCTTTATAGTCATTTGACACCTCAGGCAGTGCCTGTGACCCATCTGAGTTGTTTGATTCCAGCTCCTGATTTAAGGCTTTCGCATTCATCAAACCATATCTTTAAAGGAGTTTTAGTCCATTCGTTTAAATTATTTTTATGTTCCAAATATAATTTTTTATCTCCTAATATTGTCTAGAGTGGTAATTTTAATTGTGTCACATCTAAATATTTCAATTTTGCTTCATACGACGGATCACACCAATAAATTAAGTATCTTAATTGTGCTGCTTTAAAATAGCTTTCTAAGTTTGGGAGGGAAAGTCCACCCCATTCCTTAGTTAGTTGCAATGTTATATATCTGACTCTGGGTTTCCATATAAATCCCGAAATCATTCTGTTCCATAACGCAAATTGTTTGGCTGGTATGTGTACCGGTATAGATTGAAAAAGGAAAAGCAGTATTCAGCAGTCGCCTCATTGTTCTGACACACACAACAAAACTATTGACTACACTACACACTAACTACACAAGAATTGCGCTAAACGTCGCAAATCTCTCACATCTCAACCATTATAACCGCATTATTGGCTGGACTATGGGATCGTTCTAATCTCATAGCAGTCACCGACTAACACTGCGAAACAGAATTGTTAAAGTTTTAATATTAATTTCAATTCAGGTTAGATTTTTTTGCGCAACGCAGATTTTCTGTGCGCAGAGGCCGTGCCAGCATTGAGCAATTGCGCACGCGCGCAGCTTAGAGGGAACATTGCTCGTTACCGTATTTGGATATTTGAAGACTGACAGGTCATTCATTCATACATTCAGTGAGATCGAGGCAGGAGCACAGCCAACCTCAGGTTTGATTAATTAATCCACAGACTCCGTGTTCTGTGCACCATGTCTGTGTACAGCCCACTCTCTGCCTCGCTGTGGACTTCTATTCTGTGCTCGGCTTTCAGCGTGTGGACTCTGGCTGGAGGTAAATGTTACTGTGAGCTCACAGCTGTGTGTTCTTCTCC